TGGTTACTTGTGTATATCTTGGTCCCCGCTGCACCGATTTCTTCCAAACTTGGCGCAGTTGTTGGCCTTTGTACAGCATACTANCTCTGGTTACTTGTGTATATCTTGGTCCCCGCTGCGCCGATTTCTTCCAAACTTGGCGCAGTTGTTGGCCTTTGTACAGCATACTAAATGGCCGAAAATTTAAAAAATCGGACAATAACCACGCCCACATCCCATATAACGGTAATTTAGAGAAATACGAAATCTTCGATAAATCAGTAAATATTAAAGCTAATTTATTCATGATATATACATATGTACTACAATTGTTTACAGTGTATTTAGGTATGAAGTACGAACACAAAATGAAACATTGTCATATGTATTTTACGTATGTATATATAAATACCTGCTTACATGAATAAAGAGAGCAGTCGTTAAATAAAAATCAAGCAGAGCAGTTGAAGTTATAATAGCTGGCGACGAGGACGAGTAGATCGTCACATACAGCGACTTACGCAAATGAATAAATAAAATGGAGGATCAAGTTAATCCACCTGCTGNTTTACGTATGTATATATAAATACCTGCTTACATGAATAAAGAGAGCAGTCGTTAAATAAAAATCAAGCAGAGCAGTTGAAGTTATAATAGCTGGCGACGAGGACGAGTAGATCGTCACATACAGCGACTTACGCAAATGAATAAATAAAATGGAGGATCAAGTTAATCCACCTGCTGCGGCTAACAATGACCGAGGGGGACCACTAAACGAAATGCGCACGACGGCGTTCAATTTCGAGCCATTTAATATGGAAGTTTCATCTTTCAGAAGATGGGTCCAAAGGTTTGAGACGGCAGTAGAATTGANGCGGCTAACAATGACCGAGGGGGACCACTAAACGAAATGCGCACGACGGCGTTCAATTTCAAGCCATTTAATATGGAAGTTTCATCTTTCAGAAGATGGGTCCAAAGGTTTGAGACGGCAGTAGAATTGATCAACGGGAACGCTACACGCAAGCAAAACTTAATTTTGCATTACATGGGAGCCGCGGCATATAATATTTTGTGTGACAAAGTTACGCCTCGTATAACAGAAGAATTGCAGTACAGTGAAATTGTGTCTATGTTGGCAGAGCACTACGACCCGCAACCCAATGAAATATTGGAAAATTACCGTTTCCATCTGCGAAAGCAAAAAGCGGAGGAAAACTGCTTACAATTTTTAATCGAACTAAGACGACTAGCCAGCGGGTGTAATTTCCGCGCGTATTTAGACACAGCTCTGCGAAACCAATTTGTTTTTGGATTGAGCAACCAGCGAATACAAAGTCGTCTACTTGAAGAAAAAAATTTAACGTTAGNTGAGACGGCAGTAGAATTGATCAACGGGAACGCTACACGCAAGCAAAACTTAATTTTGCATTACATGGGAGCCGCGGCATATAATATTTTGTGTGACAAAGTTACGCCTCGTATAACAGAAGAATTGCAGTACAGTGAAATTGTGTCTATGTTGGCAGAGCACTACGACCCGCAACCCAATGAAATATTGGAAAATTACCGTTTCCATCTGCGAAAGCAAAAAGCGGAGGAAAACTGCTTACAATTTTTAATCGCACTAAGACGACTAGCCAGCGGGTGTAATTTCCGCGCGTATTTAGACACAGCTCTGCGAAACCAATTTGTTTTTGGATTGAGCAACCAGCGAATACAAAGTCGTCTACTTGAAGAAAAAAATTTAACGTTAGTAATGGCAGAAAATATGGCATCAGCATACGAATGTGCGGAGCGCGGCGGTAAGCGTAAACAAATTGATGGACAAAAGAAAGGTCAAAAAGGGCAACAAAGGAAAAAAACTTAAAGGGAATAGTATGCCAGAAACAGAGCAGCATGACAAAGGGAAATGCTATCGTTGTGGGAGCACTGGTCATCTAGCTACCGAATGCACACACAAAAACACCGTATGTCATTTCTGCAAAATAAAAGGTCATCTGTGAAAAAACTGCTTAAAGGAAAAGCAAAAATTGAACAAAGTTTCGATGGATAACCTTCAAACCGTAGAGGCCTTGTTTCAAATCGGCGACGACAGTGAGAAGCTTTTGCGGAAAAAGATGTGGCATACGCTGAAAGTAAGCAACGTGAATTTGGAGTTTGAAGTGGACACAGGAGCACCAGTGACTATCATCAGCTTAACAGACGCTAAGAAGAATTTTCTAAAATCCCAAGTGAAGAAAACGAATACGAAGTTCTACAGTCGTCCGCTCTCAACACAAGCCGCTAATGGGAAGAGAATGGGTGCGGAAATTGGACATAAAGTGGCAGGAAATCCTGTATACTGAGGTAAACGCTACCGAATCCAATAAACTACAGATTAATACCACTAGTTTGATTAAAAAATGGCCTAAATTATTTGAAGCGAAAATGGGAAAAATCTCGTGGTTTCAGGCACGTTTACATGTAAATTCGGGCACCACGCCTAAGGCATACAAAGCGCGATGCGTAGCATTTTCGTTGTGGGAACCGGTTGAACGTGAGTTGCAGAAGAAAGTCAATGAAAGTCTCTTAGAGAGAGTTGACCAAAGCGAGTGGGCAACCCCCATAGTGGTTGTGCCGAAAAGCGATGGCGCCGTGCGCATTTATGGTGACTACAGGGCCACAATAAACAAAGACCTCGTGATTGACGAATATCCACTCCCCACGATAGATGAGTTGTTTAGTACCATGGCCGGCGGAGACAAATTTTCCAAAATAGATCTGGCAAAAGCGTACTTGCAACTAGAAGTGCATTCCGATGATAGACGTTTCCTTACATTGGCAACCCCGAAAGGCCTTTTCCAACCGACTCGCCTGATGTTTGGCGTAGCATGCGCTCCGGCCATCTGGCAAAGGTGGATGGAGCAACTTCTGAGTGACATCCCCGGCGTATCAGTGTTCCTCGACGACATTAAAGTTACAGCTCCAGACGACTCAACGCATTTACATCGAATTGGGGAAGTACTGGGTCGACTTGATGCGCACAATATGCGGGTTAATTTAGAAAAATCGGAATTCTTTAAAGACTATCGAATACTGCGGTCATGTTATCGATAGAAACGGTAAGGCCTTGGCTGGGGCTTGTGAACTATTATGGACGTTTTATTGAAAACCTGAGCACTATAGTTTACCCGTTGAATCAATTACTACAGAATAATAAAAAATTTTATTTTGATGGCAAATGTGCAAAAGCGTTTACAAAAATAAAGCAGCTAATGCAATCAGATCATGTTTTGACACATTTTGAACCCAGGTTACCTCTCATATTGGCTGTTGACGCTAGCCCGGTTGGCGTCGGAGCCGTGCTAAGCCACAAACTCAAGGACGGGGCGGAGCGTCCAATTCAGTTCGCATAGCAGACGCTGAGCAAAGTGCAGAGAGCCTACAGTCAAATTGACAAGGAGGCGTATGCGATAATTTTTGGCATCAAACGTTTTTATCAGTACTTATATGGAAGGAAATTCCCGCTCGTGACTGATAATAAACCACTGTCGCAGATTTTCTCGCCACATAAAGGATTGCCAACACTGACAGCAACCCGGATGCAACATTACGCACTATTTTTATCATCGTTCCAGTATGAAATTCAGGTGAAGAGATCCAGCGAGAACATGAATGCTGATGCGATGTCAAGACTACCGAACCGCGAGGCTCATCCGTATATGGAAGAAGTTTACCTGATCGAAGCTGAGGCAATAAGCAATTTACCGGTAACTCTACCAGATCTGCAAAAGGCTACAGCGAACGATAAGAGAGTTGAGAAGTTGATGCAGTGTCTTAAGTACGGACGCACTAGTGAAGCGGCTGATCGTTTCGGCATACAACAAACTGAATTTTCGCTTCATGAAGGCTGCCTATTGAGAGGAATTCGGGTATATTTTCCAATGAGTACTAGCGGAACTGCACACAGCGCATTTCGGTATATCACGTATGAAAGCATTGGCACGAGCATATTGCTGGTGGCCACGTATGGATGATGATATCATACAATTAATATCAAACTGTGTGGCGTGCCAGAGAACTAAACCAAATCCAGAAAAGCTAGAGGCAGTGCAAATATGGACTCGACAAAGGAAGGTTTTCGAGCGAGTTCACGTAGACTATGCAGAACCATTCCTGGGCAAGTATTTTTTCGTTTTAGTGGACGCCTATTCAAAATGGCCGGAGGTGCACATAGTACCTAACATGACGGCGACTGCAGCAACTCAAAAGTGTGAAGAGATCTTCGCTGAGTACGGTTTACCCGACGTAATGGTGTCGGACCATGGAACGCAGATTAAGTCTACTGAATTCCAGCAATTTCTTAAAGAAAATGGTATTGTCCATAAGTAGGGTGCTCCATATCACCCAGCGACGAAAGGACAAGCAGAAAGATTC